ATTTGACGGCGTCTTTTCTAGTACTTTGTATTTTTTTTTTGCCAGAATGTGTGTTTTCCGATGAAACAATCCTTAAATAGACATATTTATTAGTTATATATATATATAGAACTACACCTATATGAGAGTAAATTTATAGGACTAATAGCGAACACAATCAAAAAATATGAGCATAAAACAGTAAATCTCTATTATTTTTAAAAGTTCAAAAATATTCATTAGATTGTAGAAATATTGGTGGAATATACATCTCATGGTAGAGTTTTTTCTCACATGAAAAAAGATTATTAGCTTCAGTAGTTTTCTTAAAAGTATCCACTAATATATTTTAGATATAATACAAAAATATTTGGAAAATTGAAAATAATAATCTCAACTATTGCTGGTTCGCTAACAAATAATCCCAACTATTGATTATTATTGTATATGATAGACCCATATATTTAACAAACAACAAACATAAGCAGTGAAGAAGAAGCAGATAGAAGATTATGAGAGGAAATGCCGAATCTGGTATACCGTATAAACCTCGTTGCTCTCCCTCGAGAAGGAGAGCAGCGGAAACCCTTCTCTCTCTATCTCGCCTTTGCGTCTCTAAAGCCTCTATCTGATACTTAATCGTTGGGGTTCCCGTAAGTTAGCCTCCTTTTATAGGAGAAGTTAGCTAACTTACGGGTTACAAGGAAGCCCCCGGGCTGATACACATTTGTGGCCCGTATTACACGTTTAATTAATAACTACACAAATGCAAAGATATTTAATTAGATTGGACACCATAAAATATTCCTAACAATCTCCCCCTTAGTGTTCAATCGTGTTGAATCAGCATTGCAGCGCAGATATCTTTGTCTTTGTTGTTATTCAGCTTCCTTTGTCTTTGAACTTGACTTCCGAGGAAGGCTATCTGAAGATATCCTTGCAATCTTCCCTTTGATGTCTTCTTGACAATTTGATCTTTGATGCCGGGGGTTGAGGGACCTTCTGTATCTTGCATGTAGTCCTTGCCTTCCAGAAGTTGCTCTTGATCAGCTTGGATGAAGTCCGGTGACGCCTCTAGAATGAATATTCGTTGGAGAATAGGAGACGCCAATGGAATTCATCTTCAGGACATGAGTATTTGACCTCTGTCTCCTCCACAATGTAGTCTTTTTGACTATTTGGAATGAATGCATTTGAGGAGAACTTGTCGGTGGCACAACGGAACATAATGATTGTTGATTTGTGAGTGTAGCTGACCATTTGATTTTAGTTGTAGAGATAGCAGAGAAGGTGTTGATTTTTGTGATGGAGGAGTGAAGTGTCCCAGAATGATTTTTTTTGACAGTTAACAGCATGTGGACCACTCTCCCCCTCATGACAATCCGATAACTCGGGGCGTCATGCATTTATTCTTTTATTCTGCGGAAAAAAAAACAGGAAAAACAAGCAGATTGTAAAGAAGATAACGTAGCCCCCCGGGGTCGTGAAGACGCCCGTTATCATCACTATAAAGATAAACTCTTTAGCAATGACCTGAAAATGTTGGTGATTCTTATGTTGCAACAGCATGACTTCCTTCCAATTATTGGTCTACATCTGTAATAGATGAGCCCTATGGAAGTTCTCGCAGGTCATATAGGCCTGCAACTGACTCTAAAAGGGCGTCTGTGTCCTAGAAAATTTCAAAACATTTGGGAGTGAGTAACTAGACACGACGTGATCAATGAAAGTTCAGTGGCATGGGGTTGAGGCCACTGTAGTCAGTATTACTTGCCTCAGAAGGAGACAATAATGAGAGATGCGGTTCCCCGTGAAGTATGATTAAACACTTGTCTGTTGAGAGACAAGTGAGTGGTCTAAGGGTAGGGTTGTGCATGCGCCGTTTGGACAAAATGCAGCGTCTTCTACCCGGGATCTGAATAAATTCAGTCCTGAACCTATGGGGATAGTCCAGAGTATTTGAGTGGCTAGGAGTAAATGTTCAATGGATAGTAGGCAGTTGAGGTAGCAGACTTATCAGTGATAATTGTTTCCTTGCTCACTTGAGCCTTCTGCTTCCTAATGCTCATAATTTTCACTCACTCACTTGCTCACTCATTCACTTACGCTCGGCTTTGTCCCTTGGGTAGGCTTAGTTGGGTTTACTAAGCCATAGGGACATGTTCTCTCATTACTTTCTTCATTTTCTCTCTGTACTCCCCCTCAACTGGAGCACTCGGTATGCTTTGTCATTGTTAGGCACCGGGGAGGATAACATTGAACACTCCCCCTAAAATGTTGCATCCTTTGAGAGATTCCTTGCTTTGTCGGTGTAAGGCGCCAGGAGAAGAAAACTGAAACTCCCCCTCAGAATGTGCAAGGTTTGATTGCTCACAGCTTGTCATACCCGCCATGTGTGTGGAGCAATCTGAACAAGTACCGCACATGACGATTTCCCTGAACTCATCATGTAGAATTTCAGCATATTGATGATCACATAATGTTGATGAGTCAGAGGAGGCTTCAGTGGTTGATTGTTGTAAGATGACCGTTGACGCGAGGTTGATTGAATTATCTACGATTTTCGGACCTTTACAGTGGAGCATATAAAAGCTTTGACCTCAGGGTTGACATTGAAAGAATTTGAACAGATTTGCCTAAGTTTTGACCTGGACATCGGTGATTTACAATGTTTGTCAGAAAACTAACGTTTTTACCCTCAAAGACTGCGAGTGAGGGCGCGTGAGAAAGGGTTCTGGGACATAGCCTAAAATTTAATGTAGATCTTTTCGTTAGCTTTCCAACAAAAAAAGTTTGCTCAAATCGGATCACCGAGTCAAAAGTTATGGCCAACACAGTGCGGTGTCGCAGAAAATCTCTAATTTTGAGTTTTTGAGGAAATTCTTCGAGGTTGAGGTTCTCGATGTTGAATTTCGAGAGCAGGTGAAATTAAACAAAATTCTAAGGCAAAAACTCGAAATCCTAATCTCGAGATTTTAATTTCGAGTTTGCCTTGAAGAGTTATGGCGAAATCCACCTGCAAAACAGACCTCAGAATAACGAAATCTTCAGAATTTCATAATGTTTGGAACATCGAAAACTTGGGAGTTTCGAAAACCTCATAATATCGAAAACTTGCTGTTTGAAAAACATCAGAACATCGAAAACTTCTAAAAACTTTTATAAGTAAGGAATCATTCAGAAATCCTATAATGTAAAGCTTCGATGAACTGCAAAGGATGTCAAGATTCGAATTATGAGTTCCAAGAAATTGCAAACTTTGAAAGATTCAAAACATCTAGAAATTCCAAAAATTCTGAAATTTTTGAGAATGTCGAAATCCTAAACATCGAGTTCCTAAAACTCGAAATTCCAAAACTCGAAATTCCAAAACTCTCAATTTTAAAACTTGAGTTTTAAAACTCTCGAGTTTAAAACTCTCGAGTTTAAAACTCTCGAGTTTAAAACTCTCGAGTTTAAAACTCTCGAGTTTTCAAACTCTCGAGTTTTCAAACTCTCGTGTTTTCAAACTCTCGAGTTTTCAAACTCTCGAGTTTCAAAACTCGCGAGTTTCAAAACTCGCGAGTTTCAAAACTCTCGAGTTTCAAAACTCTCGAGTTTCAAAACTCTCGAGTTTCAAACTCTCGAGTTTCAAACTCTCGAGTTTCAAAAACTCCCGAGTTTCAAAAACTCCCGAGTTTCAAAAACTCCCGAGTTTCAAAAACTCCCGAGTTTCAAAAACTCTCGAGTTTCAAAAACTCTCGAGTTTCAAACTCTCGAGTTTTAAAACTCTCGAGTTTAAAACTGTCGAGTTTAGGAATTCGAGACCCAAAATGTAGAGTTCCTGCAAAAAAGAAAACTTCGAATTTTGAGAATCTGAAAACTGTTCTGAATAGCCCTGAAGGTCGCGATTCGTCCTGTATTTGTTTCAAGTCAAAAACGTTTCTGCAACAGTGAAGAACAAGAATCTCGAGATCTCAAATGTAGAGATCTTCGAGATTGAAAAATTGCAGAAAATGAAAATAGAGATATGCTGTAGAATCGGTTCTGAAAGGCGATTCCAACAGCATAATTTTTATAAAATTTCGTTCACAAACAAGATTACAGGAGCAAATCTCTATATCAAAGAAAAACAGAAGAAAAGCAGAGCAGATCTTCGTAAAAAGGCAGATCCGAAAAAAACGCAGATAGATTCAACCTGTTTCACGCCTCGGCTCTGATACCAATTGATAGACCCATATATTTAACAAACAAAAAACATAAGCAGTGAAGAAGAAGCAGATAGAAGATTATGAGAGGAAATGCCGAATCTGGTATACCGTATAAACCCCGCTGCTCTCCCTCGAGAAGGAGAGCAGCGGAAACTCTTCTCTCTCTATCTCGCCTCTGCGTCTCTAAAGCCTCTATCTGATACTTAATCGTTGGGGTTCCCGTAAGTTAGCCTCCTTTTATAGGAGAAGTTAGCTAACTTACGGGTTACAAGGAAGCCCTCGGGCTGATACACATTTGTGGCCCGTATTACACGTTTAATTATTAACTACACAAATACAAAGATATTTAATTAGATTGGACACCATAAAATATTCCTAACAGTATAATCCCAACTATATGGACCGTCCGTCAATAATTGTCCATGACCGCATATTATATGTTCTAACAAGTGATTTTTTAATAGAAGTTAAGCGTAAAATTGAAATTCGGGATTATTTATAAGGATTGCCTACTATCTCTTTAGAAACTATAAGAATTTATTTATAATTGGTAGAGATGGCAACGGGGCGGTTCGGGGGCGGGTATACCTATAACTGTAACTGCCCCGTTGGGTAATTTACATTCCCCGAAACTGCCCCGTTACCCGTTCGGATAATTTTTACCCGAACTGTACTCGTTTAAACGGGTAACGGGTTTACCCACGGGTAATCGTTTGATCAAATACCTCCATTGTTATTTGCTATTGCTAATTTGCTATATAGGGGGTTTTCAATCAATGACCTAAAAATCAATAAATAACCAATACACAACACAATTAAAGTCAAATACTTAATCATCATAACAGTATAACACTACAAAATCAATTAAACTTAAACATCCAACTGATCCATAACCTTGAAGTGCATAAAGGCATAAAGTTGTAAATGAAATTGAGTATTGCAAAGTAGCAATACAAAATCACAGCAACTCATTCCAAACAATCAAAAATCTCATGTTTTAAACCAACAATAACAAAATAGTAAAATAAATGAGTACAACTACATAGCAACTCATTCCAAACTTCCAGTATGGCAACACAACAATATTTAAACCTGCAATTAGTAATAAAAAAATGTTAGCTGGTTTGCCAAAAAAACAGTAAGTGATTAGAATGTCAAGCATAAAAATACATACCCGCGCACAAAAAATGAGAGCCCGGGAGCCGAGACCTAGTACGGATTGTCTAATAGTAGTGGCTCCAAAAGTCGAAACTTTTTCTAACTCTTAATTATTGATTACATTATTCACAAGCAGCCTGACTACCTTTGGGGAGGGGGAGGGGAGGGGAAGGTGTCAAGGTTAACTACCTAAATTAACCTCAACTGCAAAGAAATTGGTATGGAAGAATATTGATTTCTTTATGAAGAATAGGAAAATATTAAAAAAATAAGAAACAAGCTATATGATAATAATAGATACCTTTTCTGCCATTTCGCCAGGTTCATACAAATCAATATCATCTTCATATATTGCAGCATAACCATCTGAAACAAATGGCCCTTCATCTATAGGATAAAAAACAGAATTACTCAAGTATAAAAACAAAAAAATGGAAACTAGTTACAGACCTAAATATGTTTGTGATACTTAGTTACCTTTGATATTGTTCCACAACCAACTTTGAGCACACATTAATGCTTCTATGGTCTTCGGATGTAGCCGATTCCGATGAGGACTAACTAATCTGCCACTAGCACTAAATGCTGATTCCGAAACAACCGTAGAAACAGGAATTGCCAAAATATCTTTGGCAATGGCTTGCAATGTAGGGTACTTGACCCCGTTAACTTTCCACCACAATAAAATATTGAAATCATCGGTCATTGGCAAAACATCATCATCCAAATAATGATCTAACTCTCTTCTACAATTGGAACTTGATGTTTTCAGTCTTTTCACGAATGTTTGAAATCCACTCATGCGATTAGTTATTGTACTTGTTGAATTAGTCTCGCTCTCATGACAAATAACATCCTCCTTTTTTTTATATTCCTTGATCACATCATAGAAAAGTTGCTGAATGTTATCAACTTCTTTTTCGTGATCCTTCGGATATACCATAGGAAGATAATAGCTAAGCAAAGCCATCTTATACCTCGGGTCTAATACCACTGCAACACCCATCAACTTATGAACAACTAACCAATAATCCTTAAACTTTCCCAACATGCTTCCTGCCATTATACTAATAACTACATCCGGTGAACGGGACCATTCCTCCAACTCTAATCTGATCTCACAAATTTTTGGGAAAAATAAATTAGCAGTTGGATACTTTGTCCCAGAAAACATTTATGTGGCTGAATAAAACAACTCTAATTTATCACACACTTCTTTTGCAACCTCCCACTCAGTTTCACAAGACACGTCTTTATACTGTGAGTCACGCATTTTAAGCCTGGGAAACACACTCTTATAAAGCAAAGCTGATTTTAACATAAAAAAAGTTGAATTCCACCTAGTCGGACAATCCAAGCCTAACTTTTTGGTATAGGGCAACTTCATTCCCCGACAAACCTCTTCAAATTTCTCTACCCTCTTTGGAGATGCTGTCCATAGAACCACATTATCCCTTACAGTATTAATAAAGTCTTTAATAACCTTTAGACCAATCTTCACAACAAGATTAAGGATATGGGCTGAACAACGCATGTGTAACAAAGCACCATCTTTCAACAAATGTTCAATATTCAATTTATTGGTCAACTTACCAATCATGCTATCATTAGTTGAGCAATTATCTACTGTAATAGTAGATAATCTAGAGTCCAGATTTCACTCCATGAATGCCTCAATCAATACCTCTGTTAACGCTTCGCTTGTATGTGGGCAGGGCACATATATGAACCTAAATATAAATGATAACAGCAATCAACTATACAATGTCGCGTAATATCAAATCAATGACTCCAATTAGATATATAATATCAAAACAATTCCCAGCAACAAAGACATGATATAAAAATCAGCAACTTTAACTACATAAAATTTGACTATTTGTTTATAAAATAGTGTAGTGTGTGTACCTTAAGATTTGATTATGTAAAACCCAAGATTTATCAATGAAATGGGTTGTGATTGCCATGAATCCCCTCTTTTGATTGGTTGAAGTCCACATGTCAGTAGTAACAACCACCCTACAATCATTACCTTCTAATAAATTCAGAACTTTGCATCTTTCTTCTGCATAAACCTTCAAAATGTCACTTTTCAAGGTATTGCATGAAGGACATTTGACGCTTGCCGTGAAGGACGACGGTCGAGTGGACAACGTGGTCAACAGACGTGTTGTCCTGGAGGCGGGGTACGGTGGTGCAGCATCGGCGAGGCGGGATGACGCTTGTGACTGGCGGTTCACGGGGTTTTGTCGAGCGGCGCAACCCTTCTTCTACCTCTTACGTTCTGTTCTTCTTCCCGACTCCTCTTCTAGAGTTCTAGTCTTCTATTTCCTTATTTTGTAGACCTGGGCTGACATAGTGGCATATAGTTGTTGGGCCTTCGGAAATATTAGGCCTGGGCCGAACTGGACATACATAAATATATTAAATATTTAATATGTAATATATGTACGAGTCGGGTAACGGTGCGGGTAACTGTACCGAACTAAACGGGGCGGTTACGGGGCGGGTACCTATAAAACCGTATCCGCCCCATTACCCGTTTAAAAAATCGGGTATTCCCCGTACCCGTACCCGTTACCTAGTCAACACGGTTTTCCCCATTTTGACCGGTTCAGTTCGGTGCGGGTATCCATCGGGTCGGGTTAAATTGCCATCTGGTCACCTCGGACCATTATTGGCGGAAGGGCCCTAAAGTTGGGATTATTCTGAAATAATCGATAGTTGAGATTATTATGAGCGGACCGCCAATAGTTGGGATTATTACAATCAATTTTTCCAAAATATTTTTAAAGTTTGAATGAACTAACGTTATTTCGAATTACAGTTTAGCTAAACTTTTGAAATATTATTTATACCTAAAACAGATGTTGGTAAATAATCTTTAGGACAAGGTCGATATCTTTCAAGTAAGTATTTAATTTCCCATAAACATCATTCACCAACATCTGTTTGAGGTATAAAATAACATCCCAAAAGTTTAGCTAAACTGTAATTATAAATAATGTTCATTTAAAATTTTAAAATTGTTAATACAAGATTAGATATGCAGATAAATTTTTAAATGTTTTAGATAGACTACATAAGCTAATTTTTTCACCATAAAGTGTACTTTCTTGTGGAAAGATTCTTAATACGGATAAATTTATTTGTTACCAGATCAGATATGGAAGTGAGTAAATATCCATGATTAAATCTATAATATTGCTAAACATGATTAGGAGTTATTTAAACTCTCATTAAGGGATAGGGGGGAGTGAAAATATATTTTTAATAGTACATGGATCTAGGTGATAATACATGAAACTTCAAAAGAGAGGTGAGTGATAATTTCCCATGATATTTAGTAATCTAATCTAATGACACAAACTTGGGCGTCGACTCACTGCCATTTTGGTGGTTCTAAAACAATAAGAAATTCAGAAGTTGATCTCCATTTAACATTTACTTCTATTAAAGTAATTACATCTTGATCAATTTGAACATTCAACGGACCGTCCAAGTCACGAATAATAATGGCAGGGGTTCATTTTCTTTTTTATGTTTGTAGGTAATCATCTTTCATCTTTGTATATTCCATCTAGATAACCCTCTTAGTCATATTTTGTTATTTTAGTTCGCGTTTGTACGCAATTTGGAAGAGCAAAAGGCAATTATACATATTTTTATCCATTTGCATTTAAAGCGTTTGTGTGAATTATGCCCAGATCAACAGTCGACTACTAATCTAAGAATAATAGGAAGAATTTAAACAGCAAAAGAATATTCAACATCAATAACATATCGTATACTGATAATGATGAAACATTGAAGAACAGTACACGACTGTAGAGAGATGATCATTTTAACTAGTCTAGATGCTCTACGAGAATAATATGCGGGATAGAATGTGTAGAGACTTAATATTCTAATTGTGAAACCCTCTCGTATTTCGGCCTACACATCCTATATTTATAGGAGTATGGCCAAACATCCTAATTCCATTAGGATGGCCGAATGGGTCTAATTAAATGACCCATAATTAATTACAAAGGCCCACTAATTAAATCCTAACTAAACAAAGATAAATCTAATTAAATTGAACATAATAAAATATTTTCTAACATCGTTGATCCATATGTTATCTACAAGTCTATAAAATTGATTTTTGTTTATTTCCGACTTTCTTGGATTTCTTATTATAGTTTAACCTGATTGAATTTTATATTTACTTTTGGTAATATATTCATCAAAAGTAATACATGTCAATCTGCATTGGTGAATTTATTATGACTGTTTTAAGCTTTCTCATCTACACAGGAAAATCTACATAGAATTGTTATGGATGTCAAGATAAAACAATCAATCAAAGAAGTTGTCAACTTATTAGAGAAATTCACCTCTAAACTTTCTGCTTACACACAAGAAAAGAGCATCTTTTTGTTCAAGATTAAGAGTCACCTCAGACAGAGGCTTCTTCACATGTAGGGTTGTAAATGAACCGAATTGAGTCGAATAATGTGATTTTATATTTGTGTTTGATTAATTTTTTCAAATCCGAATTCGAATTCGAATATGAAACAAGTATTATTTTCGATTTGTATTAGTATTTGTTTAACCATACAAATAATTAATGAATCATATATGAATATCGAAACGATTTGCTCATAAGTGAAATGCATGCTACAACTTGATATGTGTTTTTAAAATTTAATTTGTAACATTATTTTTTCCTTTAAAATTTAATGGATCGGTGCATTTTTAGGTTGTGCACAATGTATTGAAGTTAATCGATTTTAGGATTACTATACATAAATATATTTCAAAGTTTTTTAAATAAACACTAACACACACATTATAAGTTATACCTATAATGTGTGGAATAAGTTGATAATTGTATATATCAAATTCATATGACTCTAATTCTATGTTAGATATTTAGCATTATTGATAATAAAAAACACCATGATATAGTTTATACTACACACACATGTAGTGGGTCGTAGTTGATGCACGCGCACACACACTAGACAGTTGATTTTGTTTATGCACACACCAATATATATTTCATTATTATTCGAATCAAATACATAATTATTTGTATTCATATTTGAAAAATGTTCGAATCAAATATATGATTAACATTCAAATAGAATATATTGATATTCGTATTTGTATTTGATAGTAATTCGAATCAATTTAGTGTTCTTATTTGTATTTTAATTTTTCGAATTTGAATCGTCTTGTACGGATTTGAATCCCAAATCGAGCATAAATTATTTGATTCGTATACAACCCTATTCACGGGTGCCATGTTAGCTGCAAATACAATCTATAATTACATAAATATAAACCGTGGAGATTAATTATGACTTTTCTGATAAAGAATTTGACTCATATAAAATGGAATATTAATATAAGTGAATCCTACACCATGCAATCTAAATTGCCTCCACTCAAATTTGACTAATATAAAGATGAATGTTAATTTATGTAATATTAGAATACCTTCTTATATTCTGAATTACCTAAATAGCTTTAAGGAATTTACTTAAAGCTATTTAGAAACATTGGCACTTTGACAGTATAGTCATAGCAAATAGGACTGGGAAATTTACAATAATATTAGAATGACAAATTTGGAATGATAGAATTAGAATAAGTTTTGAAATAAATGATAGAATGATATATAGCATGAAGTAAAGTTGTTTTGTAGAGTACTAATTTGTGGTTTCTCTAGCAGGAAACTACATAAGTATGGTTTATCTGTAGCTGCAACATGAATCTTAAGCTGCTATTGATTTCATTTTAATGTGTGATTAACTAACTATTTTGATCAGGAAGACGTGATCTAATATAATTGTTTAGATTTTTATTATCAAGTTTTAAATTGTTATTTATTTCTTGGCACAAAGCCGAGCGCGAAACAAAACGACTAATATAATTGCAATTACTACTATGGTTGAAATTGTTGATGATGATACATTTACATTTTTCAAATAATTTTGAAGTATTTTCAGCACAGGTTAAATATGAACTATTAAACTACTATCTAAGATCTCGTGCTATTCATTTATCAAGTTAACTTTTTAAAATGGATTTTTTAGATTATAATGACTATATCTAATATATTTGTGTCCATAAAAGGAGAAGATTAAAGAAGAACAAATAAAATACTTACGTTTATCGTTATTTTAAAATTTTAAAGTACATATACTATACGAATATAGGCAGTGGCGGAGCCAGAGGTTTGTCCAAGGAGGGGCAAACCAAAGACTAAAAATTTTAAAGTTCGTGTCCAAAATATAATAAGAACAACAATAGCGTAATAATTTAACAAAAAATTATAGTTCATTACATACTACTTGATTTACTTCTGCAACCTAGGCAAATCAATCCTACGAGTTTTCACCACTTTTGCCACATCGGCATTGCGTGCACTATACCATTCTAGCAATTCCAAAAAATTTCCTCTATTTAATGAGCTCTCTCGCTCATTATGACCACGAAAAGCCAATCCTTGTGCAATTAAAAATCTAGCACAATCCACACTTGCATTCAAACGAGTACGGTATGCCGCACCCAACAGTTGTGTTCCTGAAGAGAGACTTCTTGAAATACTTTGTTTTTTATTTTTGAAAGCAAAAAATTGTGTTCTAGCATCATTGTGCACACTCTCTACAATACCAACATGATCTCTAAATTTTTCAGGAGCTTTCTTCCAATTACGGAATCCGGTCCTCACAAACACATCATCACCAAATCTCTTTCCTTCATGCCCATGAAAAAGGTAACACCAAAAACAGAAAACGGCATCTTTAGAAATACTATATTCCAACCATTCCCAAGTTTTAAACCACTCTCCTCGAAAGCTCCTTAATGTCTTACCAAATTCAGTTCGTGGAAACTTATGAGATGCTGGTTGACAAGCACCTTTAACAACTTATGCTCTCATCACATCATCCCTAATCCCCGGCGCATATTCATTAATTGGTTTTCGTAAAAATGGATCACTAATAATATCCCATTCATGTGTACTTTCTGTTCGGGCTCTCTTGTCCCTCTCATTCCTCTCATCTCTAGCAATATTTTCATTTGACGCAGTGGCATTTTCAACACTAGAGATAGACTGATTAGGAACAATTGAAGAACTAACACCTCCAATCAAAGACCTCTTAGTCTTAATTACAAATTTATCCAAACTCATACTCCTAAATATAACAAAAATAAGTATGAATTAAAAATGTTCCTTATACAAATAGCATTAAATTGCATCTAGAACTGAGATTTGAGGATTCACACAAATAATTTCTGACTTTTCGTTAGGGATGAGAGCAAATAATTAA